TCAGCAAGTTTCTCCTATGAGTTATTTCACCATCAACAAAACTGACCTAAAAATGGACTCACTCTAGCAGTTCACGAAATAACACATTTATTAATACAAATTTGTGACAATTTACGGGATTCATTGTGTCTGGAATAGCATCTAACTGCAAAAATTACACTATGTAGTAATAATAAAGCCAGATCTAAGCACACACTCTAAAGCAAAGTGCTAAAAACACTATGAAGAAATAGAAGCAAAAACTTCAGAGTACAGCAACTTACTAAGAATACTATGAGGAAAAAGTAAGCACCAGTTATTTAGAAACAGGTAATTAGCATGCATAAGATACGTCTCACCTTCCAGGCATCCCCAGAAGTGGAAGGAGAAAAGGCAGCCTGTCAGCTACCTCCACAGAATTGATGGAACTTCTCCCCCATTTTTGTTTATGTCCAATATAATTTTATACCTTTTTCTTAGGTATTTTGAGTGGCTATAGTCAATAAAGTAATTTTGGGGTGATAGACAAGGGACATAGGCCCAAGGGTCATTTTCCTGAGTTTCTGTCTGGCAGGATGTTTTTGAAAAAAGGCCGTGTTATCTCCATATCATGACTTTCTTTGTTTAATCCTCTTATCAGTTTCTGGGAATGTCTCCCCAGGTGCTGGGGTCTTCCAGGGAACCATCATGACTTTTTTTTTCTCCTTTTGTGTAGCCTTTTTATCACCTTACAGAGTAGTTTTCCATCTTATTCTCTCACCCCTGTCTGGTTGGGAAGGGGAGTGATAGAGCAGTTTGGTTCACACCTGGCATCCAACCAAGGTCAACCCACTACAAATGCAAACTCTAAAACATCAGAACACAGTTCAGTAACTTCAAATTTTCTCAGTACTAGGAATATATATACATGGACTCGATGACCTAAGAGGCTTTTTTCAACCTTAACAATTCAATAATTTGCACATTTTCATAAATCCAAATGAGAAAATGGAACAAAATGGGAGAACACAAATTATTAGACATTAAGAAAATTAACCCTGATTTTTATTTGGATATAAATTGAAACAGAGAAAGGATTTAAAGAGTTAACTTAGAGGGGCCGAAATCTGGTTCCTGGGACCTTGCTCTGAGGAATGAGATATTTATGTTAAAATATAGCAAAAACAGGGACCAGGCTCTAAGGATTAGCTTAGAAATATAGCAGAAATAATTTGTTCTGTTCTGTTCTAGTAAAAAATAGCAGAAAGGTCAACCTAGTAGTCATGAATAAAGAGAGGATGGCATCCAGGGAGATAGAGGGGTGGTGGGTCAAGGGGAGTTTTGCAAACCCTAACTCGAACTCAGAGAAACAAAGAAAGTTGAAGAGTTCAACCGAGGAAGAAGAGATGAGAAGACCCCTAAAGTGGGGCCGAAGAACGGAACAACCCCCGTACATCTCCTCAAATAAAAACCCTGACTTCTCACTCAAACTTTAGAGTTACTTTGTCCGATGCGAATCAGGGGCTCTCCAACGTTGTATGCAATAAATACCTTGCTGTTTAAAGTAACAAATTTGTCTCTAAGCAGTTTTTCAGTGCTGTTTTGGCATCAAAATCAAAACCATTGTGATAAATCTGTTGATGACACTCCTTAAATTTTTTTTCCTCCTCAAAAGACTAGGTGTCTGTTTCATTTTAAAAAGGCTGAGAAATATCACACTGCAGGAAAAGAGAACTCTTGAGAAGATTTATAAAAGTATATCAGAAGAAATCTAATTTGCTAGCCTTTTTTGGTTAGGAAAGCTCTTTGGCTTACAGCTTTCAGAGATAAAAAAACACACAGAAGGAAAACAGATGTTCTGGTTGAATCTATCACTGAACTATATAAACCTACGATGTAAGTGGGAAAAACCAACAGATTGCAAATTATGCCTCCCAATTTCTTTTTTTCCCTCTCTATTACTAGTGTTATGCTGATAAAATCTATTTGGGTAGTGCAAACAAGTCTTAATTGTTTAATAAAGAAATTAATTTGTCATTGCATGAATTTTTCACTCATCATCAGTAGATATTCAACAAGTAACAAGAATGTTAAATATACATAAAAACGGTGTAGGAATATTTAAAGTTGATTCCAATACAATAATTTTAATTACTATTAAATCACTTCTGAGTAGTGAAATAGGTCTAAAAATAGAAGCAGCAAATAAATCCATCACATTCAATAGCTCTATAAGACTAACAATTCATATTAACATTCTATAACAGGGCAAGAAGTTGATGGGCTGTATCCAACAGACTTGTATTTCTATCAATGCCTCTACAGGAACCCACATGAAACCACACTGCTCACAGACAGGACATACTTAAAAACTAGGCAGACAAGTCAAAGCCTGAAATCACTTCAAAACAGAACAGCTCTCATTTTACTAAATTGTTCCTCTAAAGTGAGCACTGAGAGGAAAATTCTTCCTGTGTACACTTCTCTTTTGTGTATTATGACTATAGCACCTGGCACTTTGAGATTTAACACACAGCACTGCTGAATAAAAAAGGCAAACACTGTTTATAAGTAAACCACTAACATTCTCAAAACATAGGGTATTAAAATGATTACTTGTTTGTAAATTGATTACTTGGTCTTAGCTTTGTCTTCCTAAGCACACGATGTAATATTTAAAAACAAAGCTAGCTCTGTACTTTTTAAAACCTTGTTTTTCCATTCTTGTTAGCTTAACAAGAGTCAGAAGTTACAAAGTTCAAATAGCCCATTAAAATGGGCAGGTAAAACAGAAATAAGCTGCAAATTCACTCTTCACCACACAGTGCAAAAATCATAGCCACAGCTTCATATTTAGCTTTGAATCCCTTTAGGTATACAATAGTTCAAAAGATCCAGAAACTGGTTAAGAGTTAAAAGCCAGTAGAACAAAAATACAGGAAACCCAAAATACATCTTTGATTTTTTTAATCCTAAATTTTAGGGTCAATCACATGCCGGAAAAACATGTTTGCTTTATGAAGAAAGAAACTTTGGTATGGAGTTGAACTAGCCACAATAATAACATAATACCTGTAGCTTTCAAAATAAACAGTAATGGCTAATTAGACACCATGGCAGCAAGATATCCCTCTTAAAAAAACCAACCAACCAAATGAAAAATCCCAAACAACCAGAAACCACCAAGTAGTAACATGTACATGCTTGGAAACACACATCAAGGCTGGACAACAGAAACTAGTAATATTAAAGTACGTTAACTAATGTATTTTTGAGGCTGAAATTGGTAAGAAATCTTTCCTACAATGAGAAAGCCTTTTATTTGCTAACCACTAATAACCACTCCTTTTAAAACTGCACTCTTCTGATGCTTGAAGAACATCTTTCCTTAAGATTCCCTCTATTTTTTCTAAAATACTGTATTTCTATTTCACAGGCCTATGCTGTTAGCAGTAAACATTTAAAAAAAAATATCCCCCTACTCCAGGAGCTATTTATTAAAAAGGTCAAAAATAAATTTGACCTCAAAATAGAACAAAAGGCTTTTTTAATTGTACCATAAAGAACAAATGATCTTTATAATGTGATACACTCCTACAGCCATCAATAGTTACCAGAATGTTAGTCTGTGTTAATCTGTGAGTTTTATGGGTTTGCAACAAAGCATAATACGCACTGAACAGAATGAGTGAACTTCAGTTCCAAGTACATTAATGAATCTTAGTAATTTAATACATTTTAGTTTTTATTTGCATATTCCACTGTAGTGCAGTGACAACAAATCACACCTGTGTACCAGAGCATACATCAATAGTATGATGTAATTTTACTATACCACTGCTATATTTAGCTTTTTGAAAGAGACATAAGCATATAATATGGTCACATCAAACAATTTTCTGGGTTGTTTTTTTCCTTTGATAACATTCGCTTTTTCAGTAATATATTACTTATTAAAATCTGAATTATTTAAAAAAATCACAGAAAATGTATACAGAAATAACTATAAGGAATAGCCTTACAGGCACTGATATGGCAAGCTTTTATTTTAAGGGCTGACAGGCATTAATATAATATCAACAAAGTGGACTGAAAGAATTACTAATTTTGTCTAAATGGGAAAAGCCTGCTTCTGTTTGTAGGTTGAAAAAAGAAATTCAGAAAGTTATGCTTTGACCTTGCTATGTCACAAAGTCAATCATACAAAACCTATGCATTAAACCTAAAATGATAATTTTAAATGCCTTTATATTAAAGAATCCGAAAACATCATGCAAAACTTTGATCATTATGCAGCTGATTTAAAACTATTGCAAGACCATACTGTATATATTAGCTTTTATACTGCTAATACACAACTAACAGCAAATTTGATTAGATTAACAAAAATTTGTCTTAATTACACCATTATATCACACTAAAGAGACAAACACCACAAGACTGGCAAAACCATTTAATTCTGAGCACTCAAATGGCAGGATAACTATGTGTTCTAACCCCTTCACATTTAGGAAAACAAAAGCAAAAACATAATCCTGCAGTCTCACTTTACAAAATGAAGTCCTGTAAAATATTAATTGGGAGGGAAACAGTTTATACTAACACAATGTAACTTATACAACTTATACAACTAGTGTCAAAGGCAATCAAAAAAACCTTCTAAATAAAAAAAAATCAAAATACACATAGCAACAGAAGCACGAATGCTGCATTAAATACAGTCAAGATAAGACAATACACAAGAGAGACAGAGAGATGGAGACTAAAGTTAGCAACACATTTAAAGAAAATGCAATGAGGAAAAAACCTATTTTTTCCAATGACAGTTTCCATTTGCAGTCTTTCCATCCATAATCTTCTGATACAGTACATCATTAAAATATTCAGAATCTCACAGAAGAAGTATATTTTTCTTTTCCAAATCTAATTACTGAGTTGGTTTAGGATGTTTAAAACAGACATTATTATGTCAATTTAAAAACAAGGCAACAAATGGACTTTTTATCACCTTCATCTTAGCACTAATGACATTTTTAAGAGTTTTAAAAGTTATCATAATCCTTTTTGTCTTTTTTTCCCTCTGCTTCAAATCCATCAACCCCATCAGTGTCCCTTCTCCTTTTACGATTATTATGGATGTTGAAACGTTGATTCATCTGTGGTAATGGATCCATTCCTAAAACTTTGTGTATTTGACGGAATGCAAGGAGTCTCAGCGCAAACTAGAAGAAGAGTGGAAAGAAGATATTTCTGCTAGAAACAAATGTCAATTTCAAATACTTTATCAAACAATTAATGAAGAACATTAGTGGTATATTATCCTTAGCTCTTATTATCCTTCCTTACCCCAACAAAGTCAACACAATAAAATATGTCACATTTACTGCTTTTATACAAAATACAACATATTAGCTTAAAAATAGTATTTTAGCTGCTAGACTTGCACTGAAGCAGCCAAGGCTTGTCATGTGTCCCATTATGCATCTTTAGCTAAAGGATCAAATGAAGAGGTAGGGGCAGTAAACTCTTAAGCTGCAAGCATGAATGGCCAATACCGTAAGTGGATGCAATAAATATTAAAAATTCAGCTTACACAGATTTATTTATAAAATATTAAATACCAATGTAATTTTAAATCTAATAACATACTACTGTAGAGTAAGAATCTTTACATATATAGACAGAGATGGGAGTCTTCAAATTTTTCAGGAAAATATGTTAATTTTAGTAAAACAATGAATGCTATTATACATTGTGTTGTGACATTTTCATTGCCTAGCTTAAGACTGATCATTTGAATGACCGGACTATATTCTAAGAAAGGAAAATTCATGTCCACCATATAGCTCCATCAAAAAACCAAAAAAAAACACTCCAAAATCAACCAACTACCCACCAAAAAAACTAACCATCAAATTTAGTTACTTCTTTACCTGTGCACTTGAAGTAATATCCTCACGTTGTTGATCTGTCATTATAGCAAGTGTATCCAAAGGATCTTTCTCACAAGGATCCAGAAGGCCAGGACCACCTAAAACAGGCTAATTAGTAGCACATCTCTACCTTATTTCAATCAAGATTACAGGTTTTACATTACTTAAACATAAGTATACAGACACTGATCAAATGCAACTTGCCTTTAAGGATGATTCCTGAAGATATACATTCAAAAACTCTTCTTAATGCATCCCCAGGACTCTGTGGTCCAGTAGCACTGCTAATTGCTTTTTCCACAAGCAACTCCATAGCCTAGAACAACAATAAGAAAATCCAGCCAATTTAGAAGACTGATTAAAAATAAAATATAAAAAACTACTACTGTTGTTCAGTAAAGACCTTTGGATACTGAAATTTTGAAGGACATTACATAGAACACTTTCAGTTAAAATGGAAAAAAATCAGATGATTGTTAACAATGAATAAAAAGAAAGCTCTGTAAGATTAACATTGAGTACTGATACTGATATGCTGCTTCTCATGTCAAGTTGTCCAAAAGTTTTCTTAAAAATTTATACAGTAGTAGCCTACTTGGACAACTAGTTCAGTCATTTTTTGAGAGCATGAAATATAGTGGGTCACTGGAATCTGTCAGCCACGTGAATAAACAGCACACAGTATGAAAATGATGAATTTGATTCACCTAATGAAATTACCAGGATGCTACAGAGAAATTATTTTTTTCTATGAGAATACAGTATCAAAATTATAATGATCTTTTAACATTTAAGTGGTTACTAGTTCCTCAGTTTCACAAAACTGAAGTTCACAGCAAGTTTTTCCCTGATGTTAAACAAGTGTAAAAAAGCCCTTGATGATAAACAGGTTTTCTAAAATGTACACATTATTTGATATTATTTAAAACTACTTAAATTATTAACTGCATTTCAAATATTTTTTCTGTGAATATTTCAATTGTTTACTTTTTTAGACACTAAAAAAACCCTATAAAATATTTTTGCAAAAGTAAAGAATAGTTTTCCTTAGCTTTTTCAGCATTGAATGGATATTTCAATACCACCTCCTTGGCAAGTTTTATTTTCAAACAACATGTCTCTCATTTTTTTGTTGGTGTTTTTGGGAGTTTGGATTTTTGGTTCCTCTCCCAAGTTTACAGTTCCTCAAATGTTGCCTTTTATTTTTATTTTCCAAGAATAAATGCCTATTTTAATGCATGCAAGTAATTATAGGCAGTGTTGATTACAATCCTTTACTTAGGGTGCCCATTCCTTTCTATTTTAGTTCAATATAAGTGACAAGTTTTAATTCTTGAGCATTGTATTTCTGTACTTACGCTGCATCACTCAGGATCAAGCTTTTGAGTTTTAGCAACAGTAATTTAGTTGTTTTCAAGTATGAAGAAAAAGACAGCAGGAAAGAAAAAAAGTAGATTATTGCATTTATTCAAGTCTAGTTCTTTTGGATCCTCATACAATATAGTGAAGTCCTCAATCATGTGAAAATGTGAATTATGATGCCCTGGTGTTTATATGCAAAAAAGACTGGATTTAAAGTTTTCAAAATAAACAAAAATAAATCAATCTTGAATATTAGTTCCTTCTAACTTGTAGGAACTTGATAAAATTCTTCTAATTTAGTTTTTATTTCTAGGTATATAAAGAGGCTGATACAAATGTCTGTGTTTAGATTTCCTAATATTTTCTATTATTACAACTACTTAGGGTCTTTTTGAAAAGCTCTGACCTCTCTTTGGCTTGTAACAGGCTTCTAGCATATAGATCAGGAAAAGTTCTGTGTCCAGAAAAATATATTTTTTCAATCTACAAAATTTCATCTGTAACTGTCAGAAATTATATATATTTGAAATCGGTCTTTTGTTTTTGTTTGTCAGTAAGATTTTGCCAACAGGCCAAAAGAACAACTGAATGCACAAACTTCAATGTTGATTCATGTCACTGGCAATGCATCAGGTACCAAGAGCAAGACATGAAGCATTTTAGAGAGAACTGAGACACTGATAGGCCTGAAATCTCTCATGAAATCCTCATAGGCAAACTCAAGAAGTGTGGGTTGGATGAGTGGACAGTGGGATGGATTGAGAACTGGTTGAGTGGCAGATCCCAGAAGTTTGTGATCAGTGGCACAGAGTCTAGTTGGAGGCCTGTCACTAGTGGTGGTCCCTAAGGTTCTATACTGGGTCCAGTGTTGTTTAACTTGTTCAACAATGACTTGGATGAAGGGGCAGATGCATCCTCAGCAAGTTCACTGATGATACAAAATTGAGAGGAGTGGCTGATACCCCAGAGTGCTGTGCAGCCCTTCAGAGGGATCTCAATAGGTTGGAGAGATGAGCAGAGAACTGTCTGAAGTTCAACAAAGGCAAGTGCAGGGTCCTGCACCTGAGGAGGAATAACCCTGGGAACCAGTATAGGCTGGAGGTTGACCTTCTGGAAAACAGCTCTGCAGAGAAGGACCTGGAGGCCCTGGTGGACAACAAACTGTCCATGAGCCAGCAGTGTGCCCTTGTGGACATGAAGGCCAATGGTATCTTGGGGTGCATTAGGAACAGCATTGCCAACAGGTCGAGGGAGGTGATCCCGCCCCTCTACTCAGCCCTGGTGAGGCCACATCTGGAGTGCTGTGCACAGTTTGGGGCTCCTCAGTACAAGAGAGACATGGAGCTCCTGGAGCAGGTCCAGCAGAGGGCTACTAAGTTGATCAAGGGTCTGGAGAATGTCTCTTACGAGGAAAGGTTGAGGGAGCTGGGCCTGTTCAGCCTCAAGAAGAGACGACTGAGAGGAGACCTCCTCAATGTGTATAAGTACCTAAAGGGTTGGTGTCAAGAGGATGGAGCCAGGCTCTTCTCAGTGGTGCTAACCAAAAGAACAAGAGACAACAGGCAGAAACTGATACACAGGAAGTTCCACCTGAACATGAGGAAGAACTTTTTTACTATGCATGTGACCAAGCACTGGAACAGATTGCCCAGAGAAGGTGTGAAGTCTCTGTGACTGGAGATATTCAAGAACTGTCTGGATGCAATCCTGTGCAATGTGTTCTGGGATGACCCTGCTTGAGCAGGGAGGTTGGACCAGATGATCCACTGTGATCCCTTTCAACCTTACCCATTCTGTGATTCTGTGACACATTGCTTCATACCTCTCTTTACTTCTGGCTGTGCCTTCCCCGGGCAGATGGAGCCCGTTAGCCCTGTAAGGCAATCCATCTATGTCCTGAGGACCTCGCTGCCACCGTCCAAGCTCGCTTGGCCCCGGCAGATGAACCTTAGGATTAAAGGGTGGGCTCAGTTCCGCGCACACTGTGTCTCACCTAAAAAATCCAATGCGCAGGCTGGAAGGTGTAAAGACCTTCCCCAGTTCTTCGTTCATGAAGACTGGCCATTATGAGAAATAAGAAACAACATTCCTTGTTCTTCATCTATGTGCCTGCTGTTTGTTGGAATATTTTTAAGGATGCTTTTCTAAAAGTATACCAGGGTTTATTCTTTGGCAACTTGGTAAGCAATATTGAGGGCACTTACATACTTCTGAGCTTCTGTTAAACTATATTTGTACAGTATATCTTTCATGAAGTATAGTACAGAAATTGGAATTATTTTTTTTACTTTAAATATTTTAAAAAGCAGAAATAACTGCTCCACATTTTTTCCTGTTGGCAAGCTTAGTAGAGTTGTAAAACATTTCTCATTGAAATAATGCCAGCTACAGTAACTGTCTTGACAATGTTAGCATTCTTCCTGCCAAAACTGAAAAGTCTACATTAGGGAGCAGCACAGTGCAATAGGATTTGGTCTATGAAACAAAAGAGTCAGAGTTGAATTTACTTCCACATATATATGCTTCAGAGATTTTGTTTCAGACTTTGTCCAGTCCACAGATTACACATTTATTAATATTTGGAACACAAGTTGCACTCCTGAAGAGCATCATTTAAGATAGTGTAAAAGAATGCTTCAAAAACACTCAACTGCAAGAATTGAGAGGTAACTGGGTACAACCTAGAGATCTGTGTCTAGGTGACACTGATTAAAATGCTAATGGTCACACATCCAAAGACTAGTACTATAGTGTTTCATCTTGCAGAAACAATATATTAATGACTGCAGGAATTTCTGTGATTTTTTCTTTCAAGTAGCCTTTCAGTTATCACAGAACTATCTGGGCACAGTTGACATTATTTTTAATCAGTTTCAGTAAAGTCCAAGCAATTCAGAGTAGGTTGTTAGAAAAAAATATTTTTTTTATACAGAGTAAAGGAAAAAAATGCTAAAATACAGAATAAGAATGCTATCCTCAAAGAATTCAAAACAACAAGAAAATTCCTTTTGAAAAAAGTTTACAGCTCCAAATTGCAAAACCATAGAAAATTAATTTTTTAGAGATAATCTGGATTGTTTGTTGGGGAAAAACAAAAAACCAACCAACCAACCATAAAAAAATTACCCAAGTGAAACTCTACATTACTCCTTAAAAAACCCCTGCATTTTAAAACTGTAGTAAAACTTTCCCATGCTTTACTTGCAGTGGATTAAAAAAAACCCTTTGCATTAAAAAGACTCATTCAAAAGAACATTACTCACCCAGCTTGGAAAATCAGACCAAGTTGGAACCCGTTGACAGAGGTCACGGAGAATACGTATGATAACCACACAGGACTGCAGACCATTAGCTCTAGCCTTGAGAGCAATACAAAATCAAATTAATCCCAGCACCTACAGCAAATAGGACTTGTTGAAAGACTAAAACACTGTTCAATGGAAATTCAGATACAAGACTGAAACAAACCATTCTACAACTTAATTCCATGAGCTGCCATTTACAGCAGTATTTTATACAGGGTTAGTAATTTAAGGTGATAGAAGTCAAAGTGCATGGGTTATATCAATAATTCTTGATCACCTGTACATTTTGACCTATGTTCACTTGCAGCAATAAATAAAGTATTTTTCTATATTAGAAATAAAAAGAATAAAGGTCAAAGACATAGGTTAGAGACTGAAAGGTTGGGGAAATCTGTTTGGTTTCTTTATTGTGCCTTTGCTCAAATGCAAAGTCACTAAACCAAACAGTTGCTTCTCGTCTTTCATTCCCTACACTTAAAGAAATAGGAAAAAAGTCTTAAATCTAACCACATTAAACACATATTCCATTATTTAAAGCAAAGTTACTCTGCAGCCTTATGGAATACATAACAAATATACAAGACATGATCACCCCCAAATGAGTCAAGCTTTCAACATCACCTTCTCAGTTACCAGGAAAAAAAAAGTCATATGAGCAATAACTGCATAAAGCAGTTCCTCCATACTCAACCCTCTACATTTAAATTTAGGGACCGGAAAAATATTAAGTATTATTAGCATGAGCAACACTGAGTGTTTTCACATATTTAAACATTTATATTGCAACTAAACTAATCTCTCATAAGGTTACAAGAAGAAAGTAAAATGATGTTCCAAACCTGGAACCACTTAGCGTGGCGTAGAGCAGCCAGAGCGTCAAGGCATTTTTGCCTGTTCAAGACATCCGGTGGGTCTTTCACCATACCCAAGGTTACATCTAAATGGATTGAATTGGTAAAATGCAGTGAGGAATGGGTGTTTGACCATTTAAAGTAGCTTCAGTGTCACACATGCCCTTTAAAGTTTAAACCCTTGAACAACAAATGTAATTGTTTAATAAAAGCCATTCAATTAGTATTAGGGCATCAACCCAGTATGAAGATTGTAGAATCATATTAAACTTTAGCTGTCAGGTTATTTTCAAATGCAATATGTAGTACTTCTTTCTTTTAACTAACATTTGAATAACACATACCCCTAAAATTAAATACTGAAGGAAGGATGGTTGGATATAGCGTACCAACAAAGAGAACAAAAGAAAGAACACTAAAAATCCACTTTAACAAAGTGGAAACATTCATACAGTTTCATGTAAATTTTAATGGTCATATGCTATTTGGGACCTACTCTTTCTAAGAAAAATTAGGTATATAAAAAAAGCCACTTGAAAGCATTAGATATTTTGTAATGTTATTTTTATCATACCTTGAAATGAAAATTATTTTGCATTAATAAAAACTGACTAAAGGAATGTGAAATGCTCTTCAGTATTAGAGTTCCATTACTTTTTAATAATGTCTCTTACTCATATAAATTCCTCAGTCCATGATATATTTGCTCCAATATTATTCAGGATGCAAGGAAGGATCTGAAAAGGGACTGCTTTACTTTTGATTCAGCAGGGAAAACGAAAGTCAAAAAAGAAAAAACCAAAGTGGAATGTCTGAAAGAAGGGCCAGAAGAGGAACCTGGGGAACTGTAGGCCCATCAATCTGACCTTGGTGCCAGAGAAGGTTATGGAGCAGATCATCTTGAGTGCCAACGTGTGGCACGTACAGGATGACCAGGGGATCAGGTCCAGCCAGCATGGGTTTAGGAAAGGTGGATCCTGCTTAAATGACCTGATCTTCTACGACCAGGTGACCCACTTAGAGGATGAGGGAAAGGTTGTGAATGTTGTCTACCTAGACTTTAGTAAACCCTTTGACACTGTTTCTCACATCATTCTCCTGCATAAACTGGTTGCTCATGTCTTGGACAGGTACACTGTGGTCTGGGTAAAGAATTGGCTGAATGGCCTGGCCCAGAGAGTGGTGGAGAATGGAGTTACATCCAGCTGGCGGTTGGTGATCCCCAGGGCTCAGTATAGGGGCTAGTTCTGGTTATTATCTTTCTCAGTGATCTGGACAAGGGAATTGAGTGTAGTCCCAGTAAGTTTCCAAACAAAACCAAGTTGGGTGGGAGTATTGATCTGCTGGAAGGCAGGAAGGCTCTGCAGAGGATTCTGGACAGGCTGGATCAATGGGCTGAGGTCAACACTATGAGGTTCAATAAGGCAAAGTGACCCTGCACTTGGGTCATAACAACCTTATCATAGAATCATAGAATCAGATGGGTTGGAAATGACCTCTGAGATCATCAAGTCCAACTCTTGATCCACTACTACCGCAGTTACTAGACTATGGCACTAAGTGCCACATCCAGTCTCTTCTTAAATACCTCCAGGCACAGAGAATCCACCACCTCTCTGGGAAGCCCATTCCAATGCCTGATTACCTTCTCTGTGAAGAACTTCTTCTGAATATCTAACCTAAACCTCCCCTGGCAGAGCTTGAGATGATGCCCTCTTGTCTCACTGCTGGTTGCCTGGGAGAAGAGACCAACCCCCACCTGGCTACAACCTCCTCTCAGGGAGTTGTAGAGAGTGATTGGGTCACCCCTGAGCCTCTTCTTCTCCAGACTAAACAACCCCAGCTCCCTCAGCCTTTCCTCATAGGACTTGTGATCAAGTCCCTTCACCAGTCTTGTTGCTCTTCTCTGGACCTGCTCCAGCACCTCAATATCCTTCCTGAACTGAGGGGTCCAGAACTGGACAAAGCACTCCAGGTGTGGCCTAACCAGTGCTGAGCACAGGGGAAGAATCGCTTCCCTGCTCCTGCTGGTCACACTGTTCTTGATGCAGGCCAGGATGCCATTGGCCTTCTTGGCCACCTGGGCACACTGCTGGCTCATGTTCAGCTTCCTGTTGATCTAAACTCCCAGGTCCCTTTCTTCCTAGCTGCTCTCCAGCCACTCTGCGCCCAGCCTGTAGCGCTGCATGGGGTTGTTGTGGCCAAAGTGCAGGACTCAGCACTTGACCTTATTGAACTTCATCCCATTGGAATCAGCCCAACTCTCCAGCCTATTCAGGTCCCTCTGCAGAGCCCTCCTGCCTTCCAGCTGATTGACACTCCCCCCTAGCTTGGTGTTATCTGCAAATTCACTAATGGTGGACTCAATCCCCTCATCTAAATCATCGATAAAGATATTAAACAGAACTGGGCCCAACCCTGATCCCTGGGGGACACCACTAGTGACCGGCCACCAACTGGATGCAGCACCATTCACCAGCACTCTCTGGGCTCAACTATCCAGCCAGTTCTTAACCCAGCACAGAATGCCCCTGCCCAAGCCGTGGGCTGCCAATTTTTTCAGGAGTATGCTATGGGAGACGGTGTCAAAGGCTTTGCTGAATTCCAGGTAGACCACATCCACAGCCTTCCCCTCATCCACCAGGTGGGTCACCTGATCATAAAAAGAGATCAGGTTGGTCAGACAGGACCTGCCCCTCCTAAACCTGTGTTGGCTGGGTCCCTTGTCCATCCTGCAGGTGCTGTGTGATTGCACTCAGGATGAACTGCTCCATAACCTTGCCAGGCACTGAGGTCAGGCTGACAGGCCTGTAGTTTCCCGGGTCCTCCTTGCAGCCCTTTTTGTAGATCGGCGTGACATTCGCCAACTTCCAATCATCTGGGACCTCCCCAGAGAGCCAGGACTGTTGGTAAGTGATGGAGAGTGGCTTGGCGAGCTCTTCTGCCAGCTCCCTCATCACCCTAGGATGGATCCCATCTGGTCCCATAGACTTGTGAGGATCCAAGTGGCTCAGCAGGTTACTAACTGTTTCCTCCTTGATTACAGGGGGGCTATTCAGCTTCCCGTCCCTGTCTACAAGCTCCAGAAGCCAGTTGTCCTCAGGACAACCTGTCTTACTGTTGAAGACTGAGGTAAAGAAGGTGTTAAATACCTCAGCCTTGTCCTCATCTTTGATAACTATGTTCCCACCCATGTCCAATAAAGAATGGAGGTTTTCCTTGTCCCTCCTTTTGCTACTGATGTATCTATAGAAAGACTTTTTGTTATCCCTAACAGAAGTGGCAAGATCAAGTTTTGCCTTTGTCTCTCTGATTTTCTTTCTACAGGACCTAACTATATTCCTAAACTCTTCCTGAGTAGCCAACTTATGCAGTGCTACAGGGGGGCAGAGTGGCTGGAAAGATGCTCAGTGGAAAAGGACCTGGGGGTGCTGGTCAACAGCTGGCTGAACATGAGCCAACAGTGTGCCCAGGTGGCCAAGAAGGCCAATGGCATCCTGGCCTGTAATAGAAATAGTGTGACCAGCAGGACTTGGGAAATGATTGTCCCCTCATACCTCAGCACTGGTAAGGTCATATCTTGAATCTTGTGTTCAGTTTTGGGCTCCTCAAAACAAGACGGACATTGAGGTGCTGGGGCATGTCCTGAGAAGGGCAACAAAGTTGGTGAAGGGTCTAGAGCGCAAGTCTTATGAGGAGCGGCTGAGGGAGCTGGGGTTGTTTAGCCTGGAGAAAAGGAGCCTAAGGGGAGATGTTATTGCTCTCTACAACTCCCTGAAAGGAGGTTGTAGCAAGGTGAGTATTGGTCTCTTCTCCCAAGTAACAAATGTGAGCAAATGGTCTCAAACTATGCCAGGGGAGGTTTAGGTTGGACATTAGGAGGAATTTCTTCACAGAAAGGGTTGTCAAGCATTGGAATAGACTGCCCGGGAAACTGGTGGGATCACCATTCCTGGAGGTATTTAAAAGACGTGTAGATGTGGTGCTTAGGGACATGGTTTAGTGGTGGACTTGGCAGAATTAGGTTAATGGTTGGAGTCGATGATCTTAGAGGGATTTTCCAACTGAAATGATTCTATGATTCTATTATTCTAACATATAGTAGATCTTGTATATTTAAATGTTCAGAAAAGGTTTAATTACAAATGAGATACCTTTGTTACCAAAATGAAAATACCACAAGGCCCTTTTGGAAGTGGTTAAAATTAATGAAACTGGAACCACTGAACAATATGAAATGGTACCTTCAAGTTACTTAAAAAATTGTAGGGATATACTGCAATAATCAGTTTTTAAAGTTTTTTGTTTTAGTAATTATGAAAATGGCTATTGTGACTAAAGTATATTGGTAGCACAACTGGTGATATACCAGATAAGACAAAAGAAAAAGCCCTCATTTAATGGCACTCATTTCACAGGAGCTGGCTGTATGGAATATAGTTTACTCCAGCAAGATATAAAGGTAGGTTACTCCAAGAACAGAATTTATATATATAGTCTCATGAAACATACCAGCAAGGAGAAGCTTCTAGGGATGCTGCAGAGAGACAGCTCAGAAAAAAACTATTTATATACAAATGCAAAATAAATAGTAGAATACTTTGGAGAGAACTAAAAAGCCATGAACGAACATGGTGCTACAACTTTGCAAAATACTAACTAAACTAAATATGAAGTACTCCTTTCAGATTTGGGCATTTTTTAATAGGATAGTCCCATTGCTCTGCACAGGGTTAAAAGGGGGAGGATTTCAAAATAAGAACAAAGCTGAGAAGAACATAGGTATCTTCTCACACAAGTATTTAAACTTATGAACTATATGTTAAAGTGGAAAGAAGAAGAAGAACTGCACCAACAAGGTATTTACAGAACAAATGAAGACATTTAAAGTGGTATTTCATTTAAAACAAAAACTCAAACCCACACCTCTACAGGAGGGGTGCCAAGTAAGATAACTGATGAAACAAGTAAAACTTGGATATAAAAAGACAAGGAGTAAATTTAGAGAAAACCCACAGCAGGTAAATAGAGGCAAAATAAAGTTGAGAAATTAAAAATATGTGTCTGTTGTGTCTAGTAGCCTAATCAGTCCATTTTTTGCATTCTTTTAAAACTACTATGCAAATAGACTATACTATGCAAATTTTTATCACAATAACTCACTACATAATTTGAAACTCTAATTACTTCTAGCTCTGAAAAACTTCAAATTGGAAAATAATTTTACTAAAAAGAATTACAGTTTAAGTGCACAGAAGAGAATCTTGCTGTGTGCTGGAAATGTCAATCTAAAATGTACTACTAATAGGTATCATATGAATATCCTTGAAACTTAGACTAAGTCAGAAGTTGCAAGACACCTAATTGCACTGAGAATACATTGACTGAAAAAAATGTATCAAGGAAACTCTTGTAATACTTACTCTGTGAATTTTTGCATCTGTTTCACATTTCAGAATTAAGCCCTTAGTCTTTAAATTCAGATGCCTAACCTATCACCCTGTTAAGCTAAGACAAAAAAATTGAATTAATTTATAAAACACAAGCATGAATTCTTACCCTATATAACTTATTACTACCCTAAATATAAAGGGTTAATCTTCAGTTAGACATGCTGTGTCCACACTACGTCTTCATTAAAAGTTAACAGGCATATCAATTTTTATTATGTGAAATACATTTTACCCAGTCAACTATTTAAAGACTAGTGTGAACACTGCTTAATTCTAGGATAGAGACAAAGACAAGAAGAAAAAAACCCAAAGTAACAGCAGATGCTAGGACTATGCGTCCAAACCTCCTCCTTTGTAAAATACGGCAGGTGTGACACTGAGCTTTAGAAAACCTTGGTCAAAAATCCTTCCAATGTCTTGGCAGTAATCCCTGACAGAAACCAAGTTCCTCTGCTAGAAGGCTTTGGACCAGGGCTGTTAGCTAAGGATGAAAACAAGACACACACGCGCACATATATGTTTTTATAAGTATATAGACTTTGTTTGCTGAAGGAAAGACTCCACAGCAGGGATTAGAGCCCTTTGAACATATCAGATCCAGTAAACTGTCAAATGCACAATACTGTAAGGAACGGTAGCTATATGGTTAACAATTTTATTTGACAGTGGTTTGTCGGGTTTTTTTTAGCCTTTTATCATGTAATGGGATTATTACACATCAAACATGATTCTACTCCACATGCAAGTCTCAGTCTTATCTTTACTCAAACTGGTTCTTCCAGTAAAACCTTCCTTATCACCTGAACTAGCTCTCCAAACAGGTTAAAAAAAAAAAAAAAAAAGAAAACTTTAAACCATTGTAAGACACAGAGCATGAGGAGCTGCAGTAAGAAAAGACATAAACACATACTATTACTCTGCAGCAAATAAGCAGCAGTCTTCATAATAAGGCTTTTTTTGCTGCAATAATTTTCAATTCAGTCTTCTATTTGTTCTAGTTTCAAAAGTGAATGTTATATACTGCTCAGTGTCTTGAAAGAGAAATCTAACTGGATTTTGCTTACCTAGAGGCAGTACTCCAGCAGTGAATAAACTGACAATGATCATTTTAACTCAAGTGTGGGTCAGACAAAAGTACAGATTTGTTTCCTTTAGGTAGCATAAATTACAGGATTGATTGTAGTAATTCGAAATTTGTTTTCTTTTTAGTCTATGTCATAGAATTTTAGGACAGAAAACAGAAATTTAATATTGTGGCAGAATCGATATTGCACCTTTTCATAGTATGTTAACAGACAAACATGGTGTTTAAAGTTAATTTCATTTAATGCTTAATTTAATAATCAAATATTTTAAAGTATTCTTTATGAAATTAAATAATACATGAAGTCTGATTCAGCACAGACGAGTCATTTTACGCTTAGATTTTTCAAAAAACAAGTAGAATTGGTTGGGTGTGACAGTACATGTACAAAGACTATAGTTAGGAATAATACATACAGCTCAAAAATCATGTACAAAGCACTCTTTAAGACTCTTCAAGACTCTTCAGAAGTCACCCAAACTAGAGAATATATCTTGATATTTTTCTTTCTGATTAAGTAAGATGACTTGGTTAACACAGTTTGCTTACAATGCACTAATGCTACAGAACATTTACTAATGCAATATAAAAATTTCAAGTAATTTAGAGGACATATAATGATGAGATGAGATGAAGTAAAAAAGTCTCTGTGGCTTAAATAAATACAAGCACATGTATGTATACACACACAATTTTTTTTCAACCTGCATAGGAGAAATGTTAAGATAGCCTCAGACTTCCTATCCGTAGATTCACTGTCAAACACTAGAACCCTGTTTGCCGCAATCTTTTTCAACTATGAAAATACAGGATTAAAAGGAAACAAAAGTTTATTTTATCTGACCCATAAACAGAAAGAACCAATGTACTGCAGACATTAATCATGCTTGTTGGCTTAAAAAGCTTTTAGAGCTTTGAAAGCATTACAAAACAGACCTTAAAGCAACACTGCTGGCAACAGAGAAACTGTAAACTTCAGAAACAGTTTTATTTACAAACTCCACTTTCTGCTAGTTGAAATGACAAAGCCATTTTTTATTTTACAAGTCTGAGTTTGCCAGTTGGATAGAAGACTGATTGCAATATCAGGAGCCTAAATATACTCAAAAATCACTCCAGACCAAAAAGTAACCTCAGAGAGCTGGAAAAAAAATTACATCTTCTTTTAAAGTTATAAGCACTATTATCATCAAAAGTAGTGCTGCTATTTGGAATGTGTAAATAATGGTAATACTGATCCAGCTAAAACCTGAAAATATGATTTTTCTAAAACCATACAATCTTTCTTTTAGGGCAAGACTGCACTAGAAAGCCAGTTTATAGTCACTTGCTATAAAATACTTAACTTTCCATAGAACTGTATAAGAGGGGGGAAAAAACCAAGTTTGTATCTTTTCCAGGAAGCTGAGTTTGGAATTTAGGCTCGAATTTTTAAAAATAAATGCACCATATAAGCTTTTTTTTATAACTAATTTTTCTTTACTGAGACTGCTTGTTGAAAAACAAGGTTGTGATCAAATACATTAGTTATGTCAGCATGTTGCCCTCTAGGACCTTAATGCCATCTTAAGCAGAATAGAAGTAACATCTTGAACAACTTCCCAACCTCCATCCCTCATGTTCTCCTCCCGAATGACCGGAGATGTCAGTGTGATAGTAACTTGCATTTTGGGTTCCACACATGAATTTAAAATTATTGCGGCCTCTGAGACTGCACACTTGATATCGTATTTCTCAGGACTTATTACCTAAATATCAAGAAACAGAAATTTCTATTAGCATGTGGCCAAGTAAGGGGAAGAAAATGTATTTCACCATAGTCTTTGTTAACAGAAAGACAGAAACTCAATATAATTATATGAAGCAGATACCTCTGTATTCAAAGAAACAACATTATGCACGATATATATATATATGTATATGGACTTGTATACTGTTTCCAAATCATTAATGAAAACACACAGCAGTTGCCAAGCATGCAAAAGAAAAAAAGTAAATCTACCCATAAGTGAAATTCTAATACTAAGTAAATTACATAACAGCATTTGAGATAAAGAAAAGCCTCAGTGCCACTTCAAATGCCAGTTCTCATTGGAACATAGGAGCCTTTAAAAAGCACAAAGATGCAGTGGTGGTTCTTCAAGCTTGCAGTTACAGAATGAGTACTGCAAGTCACATTCTATACTTGGCTATCACAACATCCTCTGGTGAGAACAAAGGGCAAGATTAACACCGGGGGGGAAAAAGTAAGAGTAACAAGGTGGTTACTCAGAATTGCTTCTTGCAACTAGATTTATTAACTCTAAACACTCCCAAAATAAAGCTGTAGGCATCTCTATCACCTTCCACAAACTAGAGGGACAAGTGAATTTTCCACAAAGCCAGACCAAGATGTGCAGGATTTAAGTTTTCTTCTGTTCTGTTATTTCAAACAAGAGCAAACCCAAGATTATTTTTCTAATTAATCTGATCCTGCTAATGCCTCTACCATGCCCCTAATTCGGTCAAGCATTTTACCAGACTGCATTGAAATACTAATGTTGTGACAAGCATTCTATAATAATGGTGGAAAGGCTTTGTTCAGTAGAGAACACTGAAGTTAAAAACTTTATTCTGTACTTTCATTTCTTATAGAAATACAGCAAATGGTTTATATGAATTTTGACAAATGGTTGAAGACTGTGTGTATTCTTTTTTTTAGTGCCAAATGAAAAAAAAACACACACAAGACTTAGTTAACTAATTGTGGGACTACAAAGCATTGACACATACAAACTGGAAACAAGACAAGTACAAACAGACTGGCATTAGTGGAGAACTTTGACCTTCAGGCAGTGCAAGCTTCCTGCAACACTGCACAAATTACCTCTATTGCTGCTGGTAACTGGATAATAGTCTTTCTTCTGCTCATTTCTATTTCCCAGTTAAATGAAATCTATTAAATAATGATTGATACTACACCACTAGCATAAGCACCTAGACACTTATATGGACACAATATACAAAAAGCCAAACATGAAGCATAGTCCTGAATTCAGACAGAAACACTCAGAAAATGAAAAGAAACCGAACCTGAGCTATGAAATGCAGCATGGTCAGCCCTACATTTGACTCGAGGACAGAGTTTTACAGTACCTTTACCAAAATTCAAATCCAAAAATCTAAATACTACTTACTGCAAGTTGTTTGGGAAGATTTTCAGCAATACAACTGAGTAACATCTTTGAAGGCTTCTCAGCACATAACAAAACAAGACTGACATTTCGGTCTCCACGGAGTAACAAACCTTTAGCCAAAACGCCCACCCGTAAAACTCCTTTCAAAGCTCTGTGAATTACAGTTAAAAGTTGCATTTAAAATAATATAAAAATCATAAAACTAAACCTGGAGATAGAAAAATTAAGTAAAATAGGAGTATTCCTTATACTCTTGAGGCCACAGTGACATATGTAATATCAAAACCCAAAAGAAACAGAGTTCCTGAAAGCACTGATAACAGTACAAGGAAAAACATAAAATGACTTCAGAAACAAGTCATAAAATTCTTAAAAAATAATAAAGAAAAAAATACCTGTCTTTACTGCCATCTTTTTTGTCATCTCCCTCTTTGCTCTTGTTTTTTTCATGGTCAATCATATTGTCAGAAACAAGTTTCAAAGCACGCTCAGTAATAGAAACAATTTTTTGGACTGCTTGCAGTTCCTCCTCTGTTGGATATATAGCTGCATGTTTGGTCATCACATAGCGGTCATCAGAGGAGTCAGGGCGGCGTAGAGGCTAAACAGATGAGAAAGCACATTTCTGAAATTTGGGTACACAACAGGTAAAGGAAGTTGATTCTCCCCCTCTACTCTGCTCTCATGAGACCCCACCTGGAGTACTGTGTCCAGTTCTGGGGACCCCAACATAAGAAGGATGTGGACCTGTTGGTGTGAGTCCAGAGGAGGGACAAGAAGATGATCAGAGGGCTGGAGCACCTCCCCTATGAAGACAGGCTGAAAGAGTTGGAGCTGTTCAGCCTGGTGAAGAAAAGGCTCCAGGGAGATCTTATAGCACCTTCCCGTACCTAAAGGGGTCCTACAAGAAGTCTGGAGATGGACTTTTTACAAGGGCATGTAGTGATTGGACAAGGGCTTTAAACTGAAAATAGGTAGGTTTAGATTAGATATTAGGAATAAATTCTTTACTGTGAAGGTGGTGAGGTACTGGAACATGATGCCCAGAGAAGTTGTAGATGCCCCATCCCTGGAAGTGTTCAAGGCCAGGTTGGATAGGGCTTGGAGCAAGCTAGTCTAGCAGAAGGTGTCCCTGCCCATGGCAGGGGGGTTGGAACTGGATAATCTTTAAGGTCCCTTCCAACACAAACTATTCTATGATATACTTCCAAATTCACAGGTGATGTGTGACCAAAAACCAAACATGTGGTTAAACAACAGAATATTCAAACCTCAAATTATTGAGATGCAACAAAACATGAACTGGTGTCCTTAACAACTTACACTGATCACAATCAGTCATATCTGAAAAAAACATGAAATGTATCAAAAATAAACAAATTGGGAAATCCCAAGATCAGAAGTACCTCCCCAACATAAATATTTATTGTCTTTTGTTAACTGGGAAATACTTGCATACTGCTGCAAAATAAATATCTGTGATTGCTTTCATAGAATCATGGAAGAATTCAAATAGGAAGGGACCTCAGGAGGTCCTCTAGTCCAGCCTCCTGTGGAAACCATGGTCAGCTATAAGACTATATCATGTTGCTCAGAGCTTCATCCAGTCGGTTCTTGAAAACCGCCAAAGATGGAAGCTTCACAACGTCTGTGTGGAGAAAAAAAGAAAAAAAAATCCTATATTCAGTTTGCAGTTCTTTTGTCTCAGCTTAAGTTGGTTGTATCTCACCCCCTCACAACTGTAAAGAGCCTGGCTCCATTGTCTTTATAATGAACAGGTATTAGAAGTATTAGAAGGCTATTACATCCCAATGAAGCTATCTCTTCTCCAGGCTGAATAGGCCCAGATCCCTCAAGTCTCTCCTCACAGGGCACACACTCCAGACCCCTGATCCCAGTAGCCCCACACTGAACCTGCTATAGTTTATCAGTATCTTTCTTGTACTGGAAAGCCCAAAACTGAATGCAGTATTGCAGTTTGAGTCTAATGAAAGCAGATCACTTCCCTTTATCTACTGATTATGCTCCTGTTATCATCACCCAGAATGCTGTTAGCCTTGCTTGCTACCAGGGCATATGGTTAGCTCATGTTCATTTTATTATCTGCCAAGAATCCCAGATGCCTTTCAGCAGGGTTGCTACCCAATCCCTCAGTGCAAGTGGTTATGCCTTCCCAAGTGCAGCATTAGGAATTTGTCCTTGCAGAATTCTATAAAGTTCCTGTTGGTCCATCCCTCCAGTCTTCCTAGGTCCTGCTGGATGGTAGCCCTGCCCTCAAAGGTTTAAGCTGTTCTCCCCACCCCAAAACAATTCAGTTTCATGTCAGCTGCAAACCTCATGAGTGTGCACTCACTCCATCACCTTTCAAATCATTGATAAGGTGCTAATGAGACAAATCCCAAAATAAACACATGCGTCACTGCACTTGTTACTGACCTCCAGGTAAAGTACGGCCCACCACTAACCATTATCCTCTGGGACTGACGATCCAATCACTTTTTATCCATACATTTGTCCACAATTTGATAAATAAAAGTATAATGTAATTAAATAAATTTACAAGTAGCACACAAATCCAGAGTGACTTGTATTTCAGAAGAAACAATATTTGTCTTCAAGGCATTCTTTTGTCATATAAGCGGGTTTATTTCAGAAGACAGGTCCACCTACAGAGTTTAAGTAGTATATAATTTTTTCTTCACTTTTCTCAATCCTTTAGAAACACTGGAGACAACTGAAGTATCACTGAATAATTTACAGTTCTTAACTGTGCCTCTTGGTAAATATGATGTCTTTCTCTATTTTTCCCCCTCAAGTTAAGAAACTCACAGTTGGTCCTTGGGGCTGAGGAGGCATTCCTGGTCTAACTCCCAGCAGGCCTAGAGGTCCTGGAGGACCATGAGGATATCCTCCATCTGGTATTCTGCAGCGGTCATCCCAGTGATGCTGCTCTTCCTCCATTCTCCTCCAGTACATGTCCTCTTCATATCGCCTGAAGAGCATCAGTGTTCTCTTTATATAGCACTTAATACTTGCAACCATTCTAAATAAATTCTTGGATGTTCTCACTAACTCATTTCTAGTAATCAAGAGCAAATACCAATGAACTCCAGAGGGTACCTAAAATGGTTATTTTGAAAGCAGGCCTGAATTTATAGCAAATAATTCTAGTAAGTCTACATTCCTCAGAGGGATTGAACAAATAACAAAACAAAACAAAAAAAACCCAAAACCTCAGAGGGATAATGACAGCTAATTTAAAACAAGACAGTACAGCGTTTCCAAAACAAATATTCAAAATAAGCAACTACAGAAGTAGTTTTAGATAATCTGACTGCAGTTTTGTCTCATTCATTGATAAAACAGAATGCATTACCTCATTTCCATCCTCCAGCGTTCTTCCTCTTCTCGCCTTCTCCAGTATTCTTCTTTCTGCATCTGTTTCTTCATCTTCTCTTCTTGAATTTTCCTTGCTCGAATACTAGGCTTTACTTCTACTTGTAAATCAGGGTTTACTTTTTTCTAGTTTAGAAAAATAAAAAGTGAAATGTTGGTTTGTCTCTTGCCATCTCAAGGTCACATAGTTCTTCTGACACATTAAGCACACACTACTGTTCTACGATAAAATCAGGGGGAGCAAAATGCAGTTTTAGAACTACACTGAATGAACAGCTGATGAAGAAAAATCTATGTCCAGTATTACAAATGAAAGAAATAGCAATTAATTCCCTCTTCAGCTATATGAGAACAAAGCTATTTAAGTTTAAAATGTTACATGAAATACTAAGTAATTTGCTGTTCATTCTGCAGCAGGATGATTACTCTATAGCCTGAAAAAAACCCATGTCATCTTAACTACAGTGTGCTTCCTGATGCCCTGTTCCTGAAGGGTCCCTGATACAGGAGCATAATCATGAGTCACTGAATAAATTTTTCTGGCAATTTTTCCGGCAATTTTTCCCTCTTCTTTCATCCCTTTCATGATCATGCAGGCCCACTGTATCTCCTGAGATCACAGTAGATTCTTCTTATATAATCTTACAATAATGAAAACACACACCACGTGTCACTGTAGGTGTCTGTCCATTCATGACTAAAAAGTCTACAATACTTATTTCTCAAATGTCACTACAAGGGGTTTAAGTGGTTTATCCTGACAAAAATATTGAGCATTTGAAATTCATGGTAAACAACAAAGCACCTACTATTGCTTGCATGTCGTACAATATTTTTATGTTGCCAAGTGATGTTCAGAATGTTTTAAGATACACCCAAACCAAAATGCGGTTTCAGAGTCTGCATTACAATGATGCCTCAGAGCTTTTTGCATTTTTTCACTTTTGTAGATTTTAGAAGTAGATGTGTAGTAAATTTAGATTTTAATGTAGCTGTATAATCCCTTACCCTTTAACATAGTAGCTACCCATGCTTAACCCTATTACCCCATTTCATATCAATCCCTCTAAATTCCATTAGCGTGTTTAGTCTTCCTTTCAAGGTAGAATTGTAGAAAAACACCTCTGTTTAAGAACATTGCACCCTAGGCCTGGACCAGAAGATATCACACAGACAAAGCAACCTTCAAGCCCAGAACTTTGGAGGAGCTCCAAGGACTGTACGTGCTGTGAAGAAAATGAAGATGAGGAAGAAGGGGTTCCAAACACCCCTAGACCCAATTCCTGAAGGGGTGTGTCAGGGGTCAGAACTGGGCAGAACCGGGGGTAGATAGATCTGGGATTGGATGGACCTTATTATAAAATCATAGAACCACTATGTGAGTTCACGCGCATCGTATGTATTCCCCTGGGCCTGAGGCCTGATTAAAGGATCCATTCTTTCTATATTATCTTATACACTAAATTGGCCTGGAGTCTTTTTCTCCGTAGTCTCTTTAGGCAATAAATTGGTGCCCAAAAGGTGGAAATTGAAATCCAGCACCCTGGAAGCTGTTGGACCTTTGACTTCTTTGGATCAAGCCATTTCATCCTGTGAGACCTTTTCATCTGGCACCACTTATTTGAAGGGTTCCCGCACCAATCCTGAGAAGCCCCAGCTCCTAACAATCCTGGGCACAGGTGAGATAAAAGAGCAGTTCTTTTAAGGTTAAATTTTGCTAGCAACTGTAAATTGGGTTTTTCCTGGAAATTGGGGAATATGGTGGGCTGGGAAGTGAGACTTTGGGGCCCTGTGTTGTTGCAAAAGTCGCTGTTTTCCCAGTCTGTGGGTGAAAAGTGTTTTGCCTGGATGGGCAGCTTAACTGGCCCAGGACGGTTAAAGGGGTGCGGGTGGAGGACCCCTCTCACTGGTGTGGCTTCGGTAAAGGCAGGGCAGGGACGGTGGACAGTGGACCATACCACTGTGGTTACTCAGGGGGCTTTGTATTGGGGAGTTTCTTCCTGCCTGGTAGTTGTCATTATGGGTTGTGTCAAGTCCTGAGAGGAGGAGATTCCGAAAGGATCTCCTTTAGCCTTGGTTTTGCAGCACTGGAGGCATTTGACTGGTCCTGAAACATCTTTATAGAGGCAGGAGTTATGTAGGTTGTCTATAAACATGTGGCTGTTTCAGAGGCTGCACAAAGGGGACACTTGGCTGAAGTTTGGCTCTTTTTAAATAAATAGAGCATTTCAGCTTATGTCGATCCTCCCTAAGGAGGAGAGGTGGAGAGAAGTAGTGTATGCTGAGTTGCTTCTGGTTTTTTTAAACCATCCAAAATGGAAGAAGGAATATAAGTTAGGGAAAGCCCCGGTAGCAACGGGAGCCTCAGAACCAGTGGGGACAGGGGCTGCCATTGGAGTTACCACTGTGGGAGCGGCAGTGGCGGGAGCTGCCACTACAGGACAGGCGGGGACAGAAGCAGCAGCTACTGGAGCAGCGGTGGTGGGAGCTGCCTCTATGGGACAAGCGGGGACTGGACACCCTGTGGACACCGCGGCGGGAGCCACAACCACGGGGCCTGGGGGAAGTAGTGCTGGAGCAGGGGCTGCTGCGGGTCTGGCGGGCCGGACAGGGACAGTGGCAGGCGCAGAATACTCCGCGACTGCGACTGGCACAGACACATGTCTGAACACTCCGCAGCTACAAGAGGCATCGACTCGGCTGCCCACGATACCTCGGCAGTTACCGGCAAAGTGGCTGCCGCTGCAGGAGGAGCAGAGGTGGTGCCTAAAGGCACTGTTGCCACCCTGATCGACACCAGTGCTTCTGGCTCTGTCATCAAGGGCAGAGCTGGAACCACCTCTTCCCCATTCCAACTCCCGGTCCCGTATGGACCTTACCCCCCCCCTCAGAGTATGCTGGGGGCGGGGTCATTCCAACTGCCCACCCCCCCCACCGTATGCAGGTTTTCCCATTCTGGAAGAGGGGGTGGCGTTTTCAGCTTTTGCCCCCTGTCGTCAGGGAACAGGTTCCCCAAGGATAAGCAAGTCACTCCCGGCCTCCCAGAGGAGACAAAGGCAGGGTCTTTTCCCCTTTGACCCTTCAAGCATGAAAATCAAAACTAGAGATAGTGATCTCACTGACACAGGTACAGAAGCCTCTGATGACGAATCAGACAACACCTCAGAGAAGGAAAGAGCTCCCGTAATAAAACCAAAACCAAAAGGAAGTTTTTGCTGCAACTGTCAGGGGAAGGGGGAGAAGGGTGTGTGAGGTTTTGTCAGACCCAAGCCCGGTGGCTAGGAGAATGAGAACAAAAAAGGGAAAAACTGTCATAGAGGTTGCCTTGAGACAGGCCATGGGTAACCAAGGCCCAATTTTGATAAAAGTTTCTTTTTCTCTGCTTGAGTTACAACAATGGAAGGCCTCAGTTGGGGAATATAGAGAGAACCCAGAGAAGGTGGTTAATTATGCAGAAAGACCAATAAGACAGGTGTTGTAAATGCAATTGCTAGCATGATAAGGGGAATGATTGGTGTTCTTTCTGCAAAAAGGGCACTGGAGAAGGGACTGTCCAGATCTGAAGAAAAGTGGAAACCCAGTCCCTCAACTGGTTGTGGACCAGGATGGACAGGGTGTCTGAAGGGGACCAGAGGATTCTACCCCAGCAGAACCTCTGGTTATAGCTAAGCTGGGGGGAGAAGAAGTTGAATTCTTGGTTAATTCTGTGTTAAATACTTTGGAAGGGAAACTGAGTTATGATACTCTAGTGGTGGTTCGTGCTTCAGGAGTAAGCGAAACAAGGCCTTTCTTTAAACCTTTGAGATTTAAATTGGGAAAGGACTGGATAACTCATCAATTCCTCTATATGCCAAACTGTCCTAAGCCTTTACTGGGTAGGGATCTATTGGAGAAATTAGAAGCCAAAATTAAATTTTGCAAGGGGAGGGGAATAAAAGTCATAATTCCTGACACTAAATATATTGAGGCAGCTACCTTTTTCATACAGGAGAACCATGGAGAATGCTGTCATCCCTATAGTGTGGCTAACGGTTGTCCTGGGAGGTCCAAGCAAGCAGAACCTGTAAGCATCACACTCAAACCAGGAGCAACACCGGTAAGACAAAAACAATACCCTTTGAAGCTAGAAAGTCATAAAGGATTAGCACCCCTAATTGAAAAGTTTCTTATATTTGGGTTATTGGTAGAATGTAAATCCAAATACAATACCTCCATCCTACCGGTAAAAAAGGCTGATGGTAAGAGCTATCAATTCGTGCAGGATCTAAGGACAACCAACAAAATAACAGAGGATATACACCCAGTAGTGGCCAACCCTATACCTTATTGACCACATTAACAGATGATTTAGGGTGGTTTACTGTGCTTGATCTCAAGGATGCCTTCTTCTGCATTCCTGTGCATAAGGACAGCCAAGAGTTTTTTGCTTTTGAATGGGAAAATCCTGAGACAGGGAGAAGAACTCAACTCACCTGGACAGTTTTACCCCAGAGCTACAAGAACAGTCTATTTGGAATCCAACTGGCAAAAAAAACAGAGGACTGGAGAAGGCAGTAGCCAGAAAGAGTTGTCCTGCAGTATGCGGACAATATACTAATTGCTGCCAAAAATCAGGACCAGTGCATCCAGCTCACTGTAAGTCTTTTAAACTTTTTGGGACTAAATGGGTATAGAGTCTTGAAAGAGAAGGCAGAGATTGCAAAGGAAATGGTCATCTATTTGGGGCTTGAGATCTACTGTGGACATCGACAACTCAGTACAGATTGGAAAGAAGCCATCTGTCGTCTTCCAGAGCCCCACACTGTATGAGAAATGCAGGCTTTCCTAGGAATGGTAGGATGGTGTTGCCTGTGGATACCTGACTATGGCTTACTAGTCAAACCCCTTATATGGAGCACTAAAAGTGGCCAGGGAAGGAGTCATGACATGGACAGATGAAACCAGGGCCATATTTAAACAGCTGAAACAATCTTTAATGTCAGCTCCAGCACTGGGACTACCAAACCTAACTAAGCCTTTTGAACTGTTCACACACGAACAACTAAATGTTGCTCTGGGGGTACTGTCACAGACTCTGGGAAAACAGCGAAGGGCTGTGGCTTACTTTTCCAAACAACTAGACAGTGTTAGCCAAGGGTGGCCTGAGTGTTTGAGAACTGTAGCAGCAACTGTTATCCTGATCCAGGATGCCTGGAAATTCACCCTTGGGCAATGCATTGTTGTGTATGTATCCCATGCAGTCCAAGTTGCGCTTGAGCAAAAGGGGGACCACTGGCTGTCCCCTAGCAGAATGCTCAAGTACCAAGCTGTGTTGTTGGAACAGGATGATGTTACCCTGAAAACAACATCTATTGTAAATCCTGCTATGTTTCTTTCCCCAACATTGACTGACAGTGTGCCCGAGCATGACTGCAGACCATCGAAGAGGTCTATTCCAGCAGACCAGTCCTGAAGGATGTGCCTCTGGAAAACCCAGACTAGGAACTGTAAACGGATGGAAGCAATTTCATGTGGGATGGTAAGTGAATGACGGGGTATGCAGTGACAACCAAGGATGAGGTAATTGAGGCGAAGGCCTTGCCAGCGGATGTATCATCCCAAAAAGCGGAACTGATTGCACTGACAAGAGCTCTAGAACTGAGCGAAGGAAAGAAGGTAAATATATGGACTGATTCTAAATATGCATTCAGCATTGTACATGCCCATGGAGCCATCTGGAAAAAGAGAGGGCTACTAACTGCCCAAGGCAGTGGGATCACACATGCAGACCAAAACCATGCACTCCTGCAGAGTATTTGGAAGCCTGAGGCAGTGTCTATCATGCATTGCAGAGCTCATCAAAAGGGGAAAACAACTCCAGAATTGGGAGGCAAAAGGGGATGCAGAAAAAAGTATCCTAGCAGTAATACCACAGAAGGAAACCTATCTGACAGGGTTTACCCCAAAATATGATGAGAAAGACCACCAGTTAATTAAATCCCTTAACGCTGAAATCAAGGAAAGTGCTGTTACACCTACAGGACAGGTTGTGGTCACACCCCAGCTCCTCAGGGAGATAGCTCTGCAGGAACATGAGGTTACCCACTGGGGAACAGAAAATCTTTTAAAACATCTGAAGAAGGTAGTAATTGGGACAGGTATGACCAAAGTCAGGCAATCCATTGTAAGTAAATGTGAAATCTGCAGGCAAAACAATCCTGATACAAGCAAGAGAGTGGTGCTAGGGGTAACAAAGGCTGGGAACCTTCACGGAGATTACTGGTAAATAGATTTTGCTGAGTTACCACCAAGGGAGAGGTAAAAATACATACTGGTACTGGTTGACACCTTCAGTGGATGGCCTGAAGCTTACCCCTGTCACACTAACACAGCAAGGGAAGTGGTAGAAGCTTTGCTCAACCATATAATTCCAAGGTTTGGGGTTCCTCTGGGAATGTCATCAGATAGAGGGACACATTTCATTGCAACAGTAGTGAAGGAAGTTTGTTGTATCCTGGGAATTGTCTGGGAGCTGCATACTCCCTGCAGACCTCAGGCAAGTGGCAAAGTCGAAAGTATGAATGGTACTCTTAAAAAGTAGATTGGTAAAATTTGTCAGGAAACATCTATGTCTTGGGTTCAGGCTTTGCCTCTAGCTCTGTTGAGAATTTGCATACAACCAAGGCGGAGAGATAAGTCCTTATGAAATATTATATGGAAAACCATATCAAGCTCCGCATATTCCCAGGGACATCCACATGAGGGGGAAAGTTGATCTACAAAAGTATTTAATGGCTCTAGGCTCTACTTTACAGAAACTCCAGGAAATTCATTGAGTTATCCAGACCCATAGGATTGGACACCCCTGCTCATCAATCCCATCCTGGAGACCGGGTCTACGTTAAATGGTAGGACAGTGACCCATTGCGAGCCAAGTGGAGAGGACCATTCCAAGTCCTGCTGACCTCCCTCAATGCAGTCAAAGTTGTTGGCAAAGGACCCTGGTTTCATTACTCCAGAGTGAAGAAAGCTTCTGTTCTTGGAACAAATAGCAAATCAGAGCCTGACAGCGATGAAGAGGATGTGGTTTAAACTGTTTCTTCCATACATATTATCTGTACAGTCGGTAACTATGGATTTGGTTTGGAACCAAAATTTGCATTTAGCTTTTGTAAAATGTATCCAATATTTTATCTTATACACTAAATTGGCCTGGAGTCTTTTTCTCCACAGTGTCTTTAGGCAATACAACTTTAAAGACTATACTCCTTAAGAAATATATTTCTCTAGCTTTTTTAATATGCTGTTTACTCAGAGCACCTACTTCTGACTAGTCTTTAAATTTAAGAACACGTGTAGCGGGTTGACCCTGGCTGGATGCCAGGTACTCACTAAAGCCGCTCTCTCACTCCCCTCTGCAATTGGACAGAGGAGAGAAAATACAACAAAGGATTCAAAGTTGAGATAAGAGCTGGGAGAGGTCACTTACTGATCACCATCATGGGCAAAACAGACTCGAAGTGGGGATATTAATTAAATTTATTACTAACAGGATCAGAGCAAGAGAATGAGAAGTAAAATAGTCTTAAAAACACCTTCCCCCCAGCCCTCCTTTTCTTCAAAGTTCTACCTTGTGGGAAGAAAATAGTGAATGTCTGAGCAATTTATATTGTGTGTAGTGCTTTTATGGACTTTTATAAACCTTTGCATATTTTTATAAGTACTATAAGTTATAAGTCCCAAGATGGCTGCGGGTGTCTCCTCAAGAACAAAGAAAAACGTGGTTCAAGAAGAAGGTGGAGCCCGTTAAAGTAAACTATTACTTGGTTAT